TAGCGAGGCGCCATGCGCTAGAGCCAAAGAGGAGGCCACACTCTGGGTGTTGTCGGGCTTCACACCAAGGGGGCACGGACGACCTTGCTGCTGGTAAGCCAAAGCAATGGCGTCCACTATCCAGTGAGACAACCTTTGCTTGGAGAGAGCCTTTCCCTTTAGCTTCCCACCATAACAGACAAAGAGCTGGTCTGAGGTCCTGAAACACTGCGTTCTGTCTACGTAAGCACGGAGGGTGCGTACTGGACAGAGCAGTGCCAAGGCTAGGTCTGCCTCCTCCAGGGGCAGCGCTTGCAGGTTCACCACCTGATCTAGAAAGGGAGTGGTGGGAACCTTGGGCACATATCCAGGCCGGGGTCTCAGGATCACGTGAGAATAGGCCGGCCCGAATTCCAGGCACGCTTCGTCTATAGAAAATGCATGCAGGTCTCCTACCATCTTAATGGAGGCCAATGCAACCAGGAGCGCTGTCTTAATCGACAGGGACTTAAGCTCCACTGATTGCAGAGGCTCAAAGGGAGCACTCTGCAGGGCAGTTAGAACCACTGAAAGGTCCCAAGTGGGAACGAGAGGAGGGCGAGGAGGATCCTCTCAGGAACCTGATGACCAGGTCGTGCTTTCCCACAGACTTACCTTCGACTGCGTCGTGATGTGTGGCGATAGCGGCAACATGCACTTTCAGCGTGGAGGGAGACAGCCTTCGCTCCAACCCATCTTGCAGGAAGGAAAGCACGACACTGATCGGGCATTTTCTGGGGTCTTCTCGGCGAGAACAGCACCAGGAGACGAAGAGGTTCCACTTCGACGCGTAGGCATGTCTAGTGGACAACGCTCTAGCGGAAGTGATGGTACCATCACAGCCCGTGTAGGAGGCATCTGTTGAGACAACAACATGCATGGAAACTCGTTCTAAGGGCACTCTGGCCCGTAGAAAGCTGAGGTCTCGTCCACAGGGTGAAGGTCTGACGGCAGGTCGGAGTTACTGGTACTCGGAGCATGCCTTGTTGCCATACCCACCTAGGGACTGGATCGCGAAGCCAGAGCTGAAGTGGTTTCATATGAAGCAATCCGAGCGGCATTGCTGCGGCTGCGGATGCCATATGCCCCAGGAGCCTCTAAAATAACTTTAAGTGAATCCGCACTCTTGCCCTCGAACTGTCTAAGGCAAGTCAGCAGTGACTGTGCGAGCTGCACGCACATGGCGACCAAGTCGATTTCCATACCGAGAAAAGAGATCCTCTGTACGGGGCAAAGTTTGCTCTTTTCCCAGTTGACCCTAAGGCCCAGACGAACTAGGTGCCTGAGCACTAGGTCTCTGTGTTCGCAAACCTGGTCTCGAGAGTGAGCTAGGATTAGCCAGTCGTCGAGATAGTCCAGGAAGCGAACCCCGTCTTGCCGAGCAGCACAAGGGCTGCCTCGACAACCTTCATGAAGGCGCGAGGGAGACAGGGATAGCGCAAATGGCAGAACCGCGTACTTGTATGTCTGGATCTCGAAAACAAACCGAGGGTCTGTGTCGAGGAAGAAAGGAGACATGGAAGTAGGCGTCCTTCAGGTCGATCGCTGCAAACCAATCCAGTGGCCACACACATTCGAAAATGCGTTTGGCCGTGAGCATCTAAAATGGAAGCCTTTTTAGAAGGGAACGGTTCAAGATGCACAGGTCCAGGATTGGTCAAACCCACCGGTTTTCTTGGGTACAGTGAGGTCGGGGCTGAAGATGCCAGACTTCATTTCGGCTGGAGGGGTGGTCTCGATCGTACCCTTCGCCAGTAGGGTGACGACCTCCGTACGCATGACAGGGGCATTGCCACCCACCACGGTATAGCGGATTCCCCGGAGCAGGGAAGAGAACGTGCGAACTGAATCACAAAGCCGAGCCTGATGATTCAGTGGGACAGATTGGAAGCTCCAAAACTGAACCAGTGGGGTCATGTGAACCACAGACGTACCCACGATGGGGCAGCGAGGCAGAATGACCGGCCCAGACATGGGAGGCGGAGCGTCCTGATGTGGGGGCACAGTCATATGCCGCATCCTGACAGAGGAAGGCCAGGGAAGGACCAGCGTTCCACAGGGGCCTGCTCTGTCAGGGGTCTAGCGACAGAGGGGGACGAGAGTGGCGAGGCTCGTAAGCGGCGCGCACTGTCTTCTACGCTCTCTGGGGGCTCAGAGATGGGATGTCAGTTCTTTGGAGAAGAGGTTCTCCCCCGGCCCTCCACAGGGGGAAGGAGTGGCCCTGCAACCACTTCCTGAAAGAACTGCAACCCATGTCTGAGCTGCCCGTAACGTGAGCGCCGCATCGCCTGATGTTCAGCAGGCTGCGGGACTGGTATGGTGCTGCTGGGGCCGGGCGGGAGGGGGCGGAAGTCGCAGGAGGGCGTGTTCGGCGGCAAGCGGACTGAGACGTCTGTGCCGGCGGCTGGGTGGCAGCAGCTGGCCGCGGGGTCAGAACATGTTTGGTAGCTTCAGTCTGCTTTTGGGCAGCCAAGAACTGTTGGGCAGAGTCCTCGACCGTGCCGCCGAAGAGGTCAGCCTGGGATATGGGGGAGTTGAGGAAGCGGGTTCGCTCAGCCTCGCGCATATCAACCAGGTTAAGCCAGAGATGTCTGACCACGCTTGTGGACATCACCTGACCCAGGGAGCGTGCGGTCACCTTTGTCGCTCGTAGAGCGAGGTCGTGGCGGCAGGCAGCTCTTGGATGAGCCCTGAATCAGCCCTACCCTTGTGCAAGTCATTGAGCACCCTGAAGGATGGCAATAACATGCAGTAAGGCGGCAGCCTGCCCTGCAGCTCTATAGGTCTTTGCCACCGGAGTAGACAAAAAACCTACAGGCATTGGAGGGGTGCTTAGGGTCGCCACGCCAGGTAGAGGCGCTGTGGGGACACAGATGTGTTGCCACAGAACACTCCACGGGGGGAACCCCAGTGTACCCTTGGCCGTAGCCTCTGCGAGGGCAGAGAAGGCGGAAGAGGCCGCTGAGCAGTCGCGAAAAGTCAAAGGAGACTCCCACGATCTCATGACCTCTTCATGCACATCCGGGTAGAAAGGATGTGGGTTCGCCTCCCCCAAAAAACATCATAAGCCTTAAGTGCTCGGGACATGGCGGATGGTTCCACACAAGCCCGATACTCAAGGCGGCCCGGGAAAGCATAGCTGTCAATTCTGGATCAGACTCGTTATGCTAGCACACCCGAGGGTGGCAGCACAGACGAGCCCTCATCTCCAGAGGACTCCAGCTCACCTTTTGATGCGGCGATATACATACAATAGATCGGGGTGTTAATGAGGGGACTCTCGCTCTATTGAGCTCATCGAGTCTTGACCGTTCCATTGCTATGGTCATGTTCCAGCTGGGAGAACGTGACACTGTCTGAACGTGATCGAAGCCCAAACACGTCAAAACAGCGCTCGTGCCCATCAGCTGAATCTATCAGAATACAGCACTCTTTAAAAAGATGTGCCGCGTGCACTCTCTTTTTGTGAGAGAAAAGCTTGCAACAGTGCTGAAGCGCCTATGGAGAAACACACACGCTGTCCAGTTCAACAGGCAGGAATGTGAAACTCCCTGGAACACGCCATCACACCAACACCGACTGGAAGCTGCTCGTCTAGAAGATTCTCGAAGATAGTCAGAGAATAGGCTGCAGGAGTGAAGAGAACTTCTTGGCTCTGAAGCGAAAACATATCTGCATGTTGCGGCGTCCTTCGTTTTATACCCACGCGGTGGGGCGGAGTTACGTCCTGCAAATTCCGCAGACCCATCTCATTTCCTTGCCATTGGCTCGTTTTATTTCTTTCGAAGATTAGAGGCTTCTAAGCGAACCCCATTCGTCATCACGATGTAACTCGTAGTGACTACGAAAGGGAACAGCGTGTTTTTGCTTCCGCCCAAAAAGAGGCATGGTATAGTAAATGATCTGTGGGGTATTTTGAGTTGAAACGTCACAGACACTTGAGACTTATATTACATCTAGTAAAAAGGGGCATAATTGGCCCCATTTAAACACTTTATTTACACTATTCTATACCAAAGAATTTAGATTTACAAAGACGCTGCACTTACTTGTGTACTGTGTATTATTTATGAATGGGAGAAAATGCAAAGGCAATATGGCGGAATACGTCCCGAATTTTAAATAAAAGAGCCAATAGCTGATTGGTTAAGTGATCATGCCACTGCATGCCACTGCAGCTCCGGTTGCTACAGTGTTCTGGGACTCGAATTTAGGACTGCTTTTTTAACGCTATTTTAAGCATAAGAAACAACATTTATGAGACAGTTCATGTAAGAGTTTGTTGCTGATTTGAAATATGTTATTTACATGTGAGTTCGGCAAGCAGTTTTTAAGATTTCAGGATTTCCCCATTCAGATAGATTGGACTTGGTCTTGTATTCCCGAAATAGCTGCCCGGAGGCGTTGCAAATATGGCCGCCGAGTGAATAGACATTCTACTTCATTTTCACAATTTTTACTTAAAGTAGACATCTCTCTGATTTGACATGCAATGGGAAAAGCGAGAAGAATGAGTTCGGTAAAAGGCGAATTCGAACTCGCATCGGTTGCCTTACTCTCCGGACCCCTGATCCTGTTTTCAGATGGGTCTCTTGTGTAATTTTGTGAGGCTCAATCAGACAATGGTGGACAGAGTTAGTCTAAATAGCATCTACTGTACCAACTGTGGGCTATTTGCACTTGGTGTAAATAGACACTCCAGAAACTATTTACGCCTGTTGAACATAATTGTTACATAGCTCACTGAATACTTGATTCTGATTGGCCAATCGTGGCATTCAATCATTTATGGCAATGCTGATCAGGCTGCTAATTTTTTTATAGAAACGCAACTAGTGAAATCTTGAGTCTTTGTTACAGTATTACATTTTTCACATCCAGGATAATATATATTCAGCGATTCATTATCGCAAAGTATAATAGGCGAATCAGGACCTCAATAGGAGTGAAAATATTGCATAGTCTTCCATTGTAAGACTTACCTTCAGGATCACAGTTTTGGTCACTGGGTTTCTTGCTTAAAAAAACAAGTTTAGCAAGGTAGTTGAGGAAAAGCACCTTGACCCATCGAGGTAACGGTCCATAGTTACTGGAGCCACACTGAATATTTATGACAAGAATTGTCTCCAGAAGACTGGCCACCATCAGTGCCAAGCAGAGAGAGAAAAATGCATCTGGAAAGAGATTAATTATAAGATAATGCAATGTCTTAAAAATCAGCTAAAATTTGACAAAATAATGCCGGTTGGCAAGAGAGGAAAAAAGTGCTTTAAAACTCTCATAACCAGCAGTGACTCTGAAGAGTGACAAGACATTTTGTCACTTAACTTGAGTATTGTTCTTACAGTGCAGCCAGAATAAGTACTTGACTCTTTTACTTTTACATGCCTAGTTATGAAAAAGTGTAACGCTACAATAAAAAGCTCCTATACAAACTTATGAGAGGTAAGCTGTTTCCTGTGACGGGCAGCAGGTCGTTCATTAGCAGCAGGAACACAGTGTAACCCAAGATGAGGGTCATTTTGAAGGAAGATCGATCCACATTCTGAGTTGGTAGAAGAAAGCTGAATAGATCTACAGTAATGAGGAAACAGCTGGGAATCAGGAGGTTCACCACGTATAGCGTTGCCCGACGCCTGAGGACAATCTAATGAAGGACAAAAGTAATTTAAACAATTTAATTTAAAATGCAGATTCATTCAATTAAAATACTAACAAAGGCTAATCTGACAGCTTAAGCCAACACACTGATATCATATTTTGGTTACATTTTACTTTAAGGTGACGTAGTTACATTGCACTAACTCAAATAAGTGCTGAGTAATATTAATTAACTACATGTACTTACTATAGAGTTACGGTTAGGGTTAGTTGTAATTATGCATAATTTACTGTTATTACTATAGTAAGTACATATAGAAAAGTGTAACTACGTCACCTTAAAATAAAGTGTTACCCCTATTTAAGCTTATTATTATCATTATTCAACTTCAGAGAGCAAATGCCATGAGAGTATGTTGGTTTTGATTAACTTTATTTTCTTGTTTATAGCTAAGTTTTTTTTATTTGATTTTAATTGTGATAGATAGTAATACATAGTAAGTAAGTGTGTCCCGTGAGATATTCATTTCCTGGGGAGGTATGTCATGTTTTTGAGCCGTCATTTCAACCAGCTCCCACTCTCCTTTAGTTGTCATCATTCCAAGAGAATATTCTAATGATTTATCCACCGGTCTACCAATGGACAACTGAACGTCCACAACTGCAGAGACGACCAAACAAATGAGAGTTAATGTAGTCACACAAAGGTAGTAGTTACTGTAAAAGTGATAATTTACTCTACAGTCAAGCCAATTTACTGGTGTGTTGGTATGAATTAAAGGTGAATGAACAGTTCTGAATATCGAATGGAAAGGTGTAGATGTCCAGGTTACAGGAACTGATGACATGAACTGGAAGATCATCCATTACCGTACCAGTATTTTTGATGTAGAGGTAATATGTGTCTGGGACTTTATTTTCATCAATGCTTCAAAGTAAAAAGAGGTTTATGTTAGGGATGGATGTTACATTCTTTTTATTATCCATTCAAAGCTTTAATAAAATAAAAAATAAATAAAATTAAAATCCATCTCAAGCCACAAAAAAATCTAGCACCTAGAGGGCTGACAACATTTTATGAGATGTGTGATAATGACAGCAGCATTATATGCAATATATTCATTAAATGTGGATAATGGTCAGCTGATCACATAATTCAGAAATACAGATACTTCTGAACTCACAATTCTTTGATGACAATATCAGGCCTCCACAGTTGTTTTCTTGGAAGTGAGATTCTGTCTGTTCCACATTCAACAGGATCCCAGCTCAAACCTTCAATATTCCACTGCTTCAAAACACAAACTATCAGTATTATGCAGTTTGTATAAAAGAATTAAAAAAATATGTCAAATGCAAGTATTAAAACCCCTTAAAGGGATACTCCACTTATTTTTGGAAATAGGCTCATTTTACAACTCCCCCAGAGTTAAACTGTTGAGTTTTACCGTTTTTGAATCCATTCAGCCGATCTCCAGTTCTGGCGGTACCACTTTTAGCATAGCTTAGCATACATCATTGAAGTGGACAAGACCATTAGCATTTCTAAAGAAAAATGACCAAAGAGTTTTGATATTTTTCCTATTTAAAACTTGACTCTTCTGTAGTTACATCGTGCACTAAGACCGACGGAAAATGTAAAGTTGCAATTTTCTAGGCTGGTATGGCTAGGAACTATACTCTCATTCCTGCGTAATAATCAAGAAACTTCAATGCCGTACCATGAGAGCAGCAGGCGTAATGATATGACGCAGCGCCTGAAAATAGTTCCGTTGTGTTGACGGAAGGTGGCCTATTTTCAGGCGCTGCGTCATATCATTACGCCTGCTGCTCTCATGGTACGGCATTGAAGTTTCTTGATTATTACGCAGGAATGAGAGTATAGTTCCTAGCCATACCAGCCTAGAAAATCGCAACTTTTCATTTTCCGTCGGTCTTAGTGCACGATGTAACTACAGAAGAGTCAAGTTTTAAATAGGAAAAATATCAAAACTCTTTGGTCATTTTTTTTTGAGAAATGCTAATGGTCTTGTCAACTCCAATGATGTATGCTAAGCTATGCTAAAAGTGGTACCGCCAGAACCGGAGATCGGCTGAATGGATTCAAAAACGGTAAAAACTCAACAGTTTAACTCTGGGGGAGTTGTAAAATGAGCCTATTTCCAAAAAAAGTGGAGTATCCCTTTAACTGTCACCGTCCCGCTACCACGACGCCTAAGTTTACTTCACTATTACAATTAAATCCTAATCTAATTATGACAAACTATATATCGTTGGAAAGGTCTAAGATTCCTAAATAGATATTTTAGCACTGTATTTTTGTTACAAATTATGTAGGAACAGTAATAGATGAATTAATAACAAGGGTGCACCTCAAAAAATCTACATCATAACAGGAGTTCTGACCTTTGTCACAAAAAGTGGACGCACACACTTTTAATAATTGAAACTTTTCATGCTAGAAGTTCATAATAAATAAAGAAGTGTGAAGTCCGCACATTTTATAGCCTACTAATCCTACCCAAGCGTATAATACGCACATACCCCACACTACTAATCCTACCCAAGCGTATAATACGCACGTACCCCACACTACTAATCCTACCCAAGTGTATAATACGCACGTACCCCACACTACTAATCCTACCCAAGCGTATAATACGCACATAGCCTACACTACTAATCCTACCCAAGCGTATAATACGCACGTACCCCACACTACTAATCCTACCCAAGTGTATAATACGCACGTACCCCACACTACTAATCCTACCCAAGCGTTTAATACGCACGTACCCCACACTACTAATCCTACCCAAGCGTATAATACGCGTATACCCCACACTACTAATCCTACCCAAGCGTATAATACGCACGTAGCCTACACTACTAATCCTACCCAAGCGCTTAATACACACGTACCCCACACTACTAATCCTACCCAAGCGTTTAATACGCACGTACCCCACACTACTAATCCTACCCAAGTGTATAATACGCACGTACCCCACACTACTAATCCTACCCAAGCGTATAATACGCACGTACCCCACACTACTAATCGTAACCCAAGCGTATAATACGCACGTAGCCTACACTACTAATCCTACCCAAGCGCTTAATACGCACGTACCCCACACTACTAATCCTACCCAAGCGTATAATACGCACGTAGCCTACACTACTAATCCTACCCAAGCGCTTAATACGCACGTACCCCACACTACTAATCCTACCCAAGCGTTTAATACGCACGTACCCCACACTACTAATCCTACCCAAGCGTATAATACGCGTATACCCCACACTACTAATCCTACCCAAGCGTATAATACGCACGTAGCCTACACTACTAATCCTACCCAAGCGTATAATACGCACGTAGCCTACACTACTAATCCTACCCAAGCGTTTAATACGCACGTACCCCACACTACTAATCCTACCCAAGCGTATAATACGCACGTACCCCACACTACTAATCCTACCCAAGCGTTTAATACGCACGTACCCCACACTACTAATCCTACCCAAGCGTATAATACGCACGTACCCCACACTACTAATCCTACCCAAGTGTATAATACGCACATACCCCACACTACTAATCCTACCCAAGTGTATAATACGCACATAGCCTACACTACTAATCCTACCCAAGTGTATAATACGCACGTACCCCACACTACTAATCCTACCCAAGTGTATAATACGCACATACCCCACACTACTAATCCTACCCAAGCGTTTAATACGCACGTACCCCACACTACTAATCCTACCCAAGTGTATAATACGCACATACCCCACACTACTAATCCTACCCAAGTGTATAATACGCACATACCCCACACTACTAATCCTACCCAAGCGTATAATACGCGTATACCCCACACTACTAATCCTACCCAAGCGTATAATACGCACGTAGCCTACACTACTAATCCTACCCAAGCGCTTAATACACACGTACCCCACACTACTAATCCTACCCAAGTGTATAATACGCACATACCCCACACTACTAATCCTACCCAAGCGTTTAATACGCACGTACCCCACACTACTAATCCTACCCAAGTGTATAATACGCACATACCCCACACTACTAATCCTACCCAAGTGTATAATACGCACGTACCCCACACTACTAATCGTACCCAAGTGTATAATACACACGTACCCCACACTACTTATCCTACCCAAGCGTTATAATACACACGTACCCCACACTACTAATCCTACCCAAGTGTATAATACGCACGTACCCCACACTACTAATCCTACCCAAGCGTATAATACGCACGTACCCCACACTACTAATCCTACCCAAGTGTATAATACACACGTACCCCACACTACTAATCCTACCCAAGTGTATAATACGCACGTACCCCACACTACTAATCCTACCCAAGCGTATAAAACACACGTACCCCACACTACTAATCCTACCCAAGTGTATAATACGCACGTACCCCACACTACTAATCCTACCCAAGCGTATAATACACACGTACCCCACACTACTAATCCTACCCAAGCGTATAATACGCACGTACCCCACACTACTAATCCTACCCAAGCGTATAATACGCACATAGCCTACACTACTAATCCTACCCAAGTGTATAATACGCACGTACCCCACACTACTAATCCTACCCAAGCGTATAATACGCACGTACCCCACACTACTAATCCAATCCACACTACTCATAAATTGCACGATAAATACAATGAGAATTAGTCATCAGATGTCATGTCCGTAGTTTATAGAAAAATAATCTGGCATTAATTCGATTTCAAACAGATTTGCAACCGTGCAAAGCGGACTTTTCCCCTTCACAGACGCACGCCAGCAAACTAGGGAATGAACTTGCGCTCCCTGAACTTGGGTTCAGCCCAAAAAAGGAGGCGTGTTCCGGCGCAAACAATCCCTGGTGCTATTTTTCAGTTCCAGAAAACAATTGCGCCACTGACCAGAAAAAACCTAGTCTAAAGTCAGTGGCGCGTTGCATTCAGATGCTATTTTAAGCGCGCATGCTTGGCCATAATACAGAGTGTGAACAACGCGCATACACTGTAGATGATTCTCTCATCTACACAGATGCATTTTACTTTTTGCAAATGATACATTATTATAAGGAAAAATATTAAAACACGAGGGAAATCATTGTTGTGTCCATGACGATGGGAAAAATAGGCATAAAGGTTACACATTTACCCAAATTATTACATGCATGTTTAACCGAAGCTAATTTGGGTGGGTTTGTCCCATCCCCAATGTCACTTCTCTTTCTTTTAGGGCCCTGACAAGAACATCGATCTCCTCGGCTGTGAACCGATTCTGAAGCGCACCTGGTAAATGTCTATGAGGTCTGCAACGTCTGTACATGAATTTAAATCTAAGCTACAGTCTTATCTTTTTACTCTTGCATTTTATTCATAACTTTGGTTTCTTTAAACCCTAAACTAGTGTTTTATTGTCTGTTATTACTGTATTGTGTGTGCTTTGTTTAAACTTCATTTGTAGGCCTACAGCACAGTGGTCAACTTCTGTTGTGTTTATTTGTGCTTTATAAATAAATGAAATGAAATGAATGACATGCGCCGTTATAATAGTATTGCGGAACAAGCGCACCTCGTTCATCATGCTCTTAAAGGGAATGTGATATGACGCTCTTATTGGTTTGTTTCCCGTTACGCCCAAACCACACCTATGAATAATGAAGCTACTTCAGGCCAACCCCTTTTAGATTTGCGTCGTGCGCAAGAGTCATTTATCCCGCCGGTTAAATAGCAACAGCGCCGAGATCCGCCCATAGTTACTTGCGCTTTGCGCTTGACACTTGCATTTTAGATCGTTAAAATAGGGCCCTAAGTGTTGCTTTAAATACATAAATTACATTTTAAAGTCAATAAAGTAAATCAGACTTGTTAAAAGAGGCCAATAAAACTTACCAAATTCAACCAGAGGAATGTGTTAAGTTTCTGTGCTTTTTCATCCTGAAAGAGAAAAAAGTAAGATTTTTTTTTCATGATTACCAATAAGCAATTGCTATTCATAAACAGGGATGTGTTTCTCGAAAGCATCGTTAGCCAACTATGATCGCAAGTTCCGTCGTTATCAGCATATTTCAACAAATCGGTGTTTACCGAAAACATAGTTTCAACGAACATTCACAAGCAGCATCGCAAAGTTGTGTGGTTGTCCAATCACACATCATAGCAACCGTTACTATGTGAGCAGGTCCGTCAAACATTGACTCCAAGCAAGATGGTGAAGCGGTACGCCCACGGGGTTTGTAAATCGGACACTAGGTACCCCGAGAGATTGTCTGGAGGAGTTGTGTTCTTTCCGTTTCCAAAGCCGAAAAAACAAGGTGAGCGGTGCCTACAATGGATAAAACAGTGTGGACGGCCCCACTCCCAGTTAAATGTGTCGAACATGGTTAACTCGCGTGCAGCGTGCGTGAGACCGAGACACTGAGATTAGTCAAAGAAACATGGAGAAAGCAGATTAAGAGGATCCACAAAGGAATTACGTTATCTAAAGGGTTGTTGTTAACATGATATTCTCAGGGGAAAATGAGCAGCAGTCAACAGTGCAGCACCCGTAGACTACAGTTTAGAGGTGTGCACGCTCGCAACGGGGAAAGCATGAAGCTTAACGTTACTTGACAACATCAGTTCATATATCAATATCGTAACGAATAGAAATAACCTTAAATAACGTATGGTTATCTGCATCTTTCCGTCTCTTATGTATAGTTACTTTTTAAAGTCCCCATGAATTCAAAATTGACCATACTTACTTTGTTTGCCTAAATTGATCGTTTTGTGGTGAACAGTTCATCCATGCAAGTCAATCCACACAAAAAAATTTTTTGGCTTTGTAATCTTTAATCAAAATCTGAAATTTCCCCTCCCCTCTGCGTTGGAGGACCTTCCCTGATGACGTAGGTTTGACGGTTTGGGCGTCTGCTTAACATCCGTAACCACGCCCGTCCAACTGACAGTAGACAGGCTGAATGAAAACACCTACTTTTCTAGATCCAATCAGATGCTAGTTGGAAAAAAGCCACGCCCACTATTTTGCCGCACGGGTAACGTTAACTTATGCCTCTTCCCGTCATGGGAATCTGTTGCGCTGGTCGTGTTTGACCATTTGTTTGACGGGCATAGTAACAATAACTAGGGGGCGTGGCTTTTGTGAACGGTCAATTCGCTACGTGCACAAGCGTAGTTTCGAACTTCAGCTATTGTCAGAAGTCGGCATGTCAGTTTCCGGTTTACGACTGTTCATCCGCATCCGCTATAAACAAACAAGATGAGTGCTCCTGTTGTACGAAAAAAATAGTTGTTAAACACATCTAAGTTTCTAAGAACTGTAGGTGGATCTATCATCTAACGCCCGTTTCACACATACCCCGTTTGCAGTGCGTATTGCGGTGCAGGAGCAACGCGTGCTATAGTGCTTTCACATATGATGCGTTTGCAGTGAATAACTGATCCGCGGCTGTACCACAAACACATACTTACTATTTTTACTATTTTTTTGCGCGTTGCCCAAAATGTCTATTTTGTGCAGCCACTGCGCACGAAGGTTGGTGTTTTTCGGGAAGCGGTGGAAGCTCAAATGGCTGTTAGCGACTTGAAGCAGAGCAAAGTGGCACACAGCAGTGCTCCTAAAGCACCATGTTAACAGGTTAGGGCTTTCACTTTTCACACCGTTCCAGATGCGGCACGTATAACAGCAGTGCAGCGATCGTTTCTGCACCGAATCTATTTCTGCTGTGCTGCATTAAAGTGACACCGCATGATTCGTGGTCAAAATGCACAAAGAATGGCAGAAAATGTAGTAATTTCACCATAAATGCGTTTCATTAAATATAATGTAGTAATCTCACCATAGATGCATTTAATATACCGGTACTACTATTTTTCACAGTCAACTGAAGATAGTGATCACAGTCACAGTCATCCGGGGTAAATCAAGGAAAACTACAATTAAGGCGACATAATGAACAACACTCGTCTCATTCGTGGAGGTGGAAAAACAAGTTCTTTGTGACATGCAAGATCTATTGTAGGCTATTACAATTTAAATGCAAAAGAAAAGGCATGTGAGTCGGCTGTTTTTGCCAATTTTAAGTTTTAATTTAAAATAGTTGCGATTTTAATATAGTAAATTTGACCACTAGCAACTTAATATAAGTAATGCATGGAATAATAGCCCTAACTTACGCTGTTTAAATCGTGTTTAAACGTGCATACGTCCATTAAAGAGTGTATGTGTACAAAGAGAATCGCAATGCTGACCACATTTTTTTAAATAAAAGTTGCAGCATAACTTCTGGATTTTAAATAAAAATAGTAAGTGTGTGTTTGTGGTACAGCCGCGGATCAGTTATTCACTGCAAACGCATCATATGTGAAAGCTCCTGCACCGCAACACGCACTGCAAACGGGGTGTGTGTGAAACGGGCGTTAGATGATAGATCCACCTACAGTTCTTAGAAACTTAGATGTGTTTAAGAACTCTTTTTTTCGTACAACAGCAGCACTCATCTTGTTTGTTTATAGCGGATGCGGATGAACAGCCGTAAACCGGAAACTGACATGCCGCCTTCTGACAATAGCGGAAGTTCGAAACTACGCTTGTGCACGTAGCGAATTGAGAATGGCTGGAATTATCAGAACTTACCACATCTAAAATTCCATACAGCGTGAAGCTCACACTGATGTTTGTGGGAGTTTTCAAGTTAATAACTGGCCTAATTTCAGTTTTGTCAAAGATGCTCTTCTTCAGGGCTGTTAGGAGAGCATCTGAGGTGGGTTCGGAGCAGTTAATAGTCTCTGCGGATTTTATTAGTAGAGCTGGAAGAATAAAATTGCAAATTAAATATTACAAGGCTTGTCTGTTGTATGGTCAGATTCTGTTTAAAGGGAACCCCGCACATGACATACAGGGGAAAAAAACATTGTGGCCACGAATTACCGAATCTGTTCCCACGACTTACTAATTGTCACCATAATTCGACGACGAGACCCTGAAGTCGTTGTTCTGGATCGTGGCGAACTTTCACCATCCCGTTGACTTCTGGAGAACGTCCATCCCCGATCCAGGACCCAGCCAGACCCAGAGCCGAAGTTACCACCTTCGACCGTGCAGAATGTGCAAGAGACCCCGCAGACGCTGAGGGACCACCTGCCGTGCAAGTGAGCCAGAGCCCGAGGACCAAGGGACAGAGTTCACCATCCCGCCGGAAGTAGAGCCCCCGAGCGAGTCTGGCCAGGGGTGTGAGCCCGTGACATCAACGGACGAGGGAACGTGAACCAAGGACTGGCTGATAAACTTCAGTGAGGAACTGTCGACTCCCACCCTTACCCACCCGGTATTTGAACATTCATCGCTGTTTAAGGACAGCAAAATCACCGAAATGGACTGTAATATGCTCATTTCTTTGACGTGTGTGGAAGTTACCCTACTCACCATCGTTATGTCCAGTCTCCTGTCACTTCCATCACCCCAGAGCTCAGCGAGTCCTCCAGCCCCGTCGCTTCTGGCAGTTTGCTGTCCTGCTATGTCCCTGAAGATGGCCTGCCAGGACGTCGAGCAGCAGGTCGAGCAACCATCAGCAGCGCCGGTAGTCTAAGGATTCTGCGGCTCCGCCTACGGCCTCGGACGCCCTCGTTTCATCTCAGCACATCGACCTGTCGGCTCCGCCCTGGCTCCTCCGACCTTTGGCTGCTCCAGGAACCCTCGTCCATGTGACACTGGGTTCCCTCATCCCACCGGCTCCCCCTTGGTTAGTCGTCGCTCTGCCTACTTGCGGATCTTCTTGCAGCATCTTCAGCATCGCCTCTGTCCACGGTCTCACAAGCATCGCCCCTGTCCTCGGATTCTCTGGCTCCACCTGTGATGCTCGTCGCCGAGACGCCGCCTGGGTCTCCTTCACCTGCGATGTCTCTCGGCTCCTGCGGTCCTCCGTCTACGCCTGTGGATCCATCGGCCTCGTCTCCCCTAGCTCCCCCAACTGTCGTCAGCCACTACACCACTTTGGCTCCTCCCTCCCTCGACTCTGCCGTGGGCTGTCGGCACTGGGGAGCTCTGGGTCTGTACCATCAGGCTGCTCCTTTTCGTATTTTTTTCGCCTTTGTCGCCATTGGCTTTTGGCTTGGTTAGTTGGGGGCATTTCATTTAATATTCAACAATATTATTGATCTGCCTGCATTGACGCCATTATATGAGAACTGAAGTGAGCTGGACAATGGCGTCACGGTTTTCTCCAGAGTGGCTATATATATAAATGTACTAAATTCATAACTTTTTTACAAAAAAAATGAAACATCACTGAGCTTAAGCTGGACTGTGACGCTATTTTCTTCTGGAAACAAACTCTGTTGCATTATGTTATCTTTGTAAAGCTGCTTTGAAACAATCTGTATTGTAAAAAGTGCTATATAAATAAAGGTGACTTGACTCGACTCGACTCCCATCTTCGCCACAGGGATCTCGTCGTCCCACCATCACCATCCCATCACCTGGTCGTCCTGTCATCACCAGCCCTTTGCCACGTCCTCGCCCTCCTCCAGAACCTCCTCCTACTCTGTCTTCGTTCCGTTACGCCGTGAGGTCGCGCCTTGCCGGAGGGGGCGTTCTGTCACCATTCTGTTCAGTTTAGTTTTGTTTTCATGGACTTTCAGTTTGTTGTCATTCATCATGTGTGTTTCTTTGTCTTTGTTTTCCCACCACGATATCATTCACCATGGACACATATTTATCACAGCTGTTTGTCACTGTCTCATCACCACCATGTATTTACGTTCCTCCTTTTAATTCAGTTGTTGTTGGTTATTGTTTGTGCATAGCACTCCTACTCGCATGTTGGCTGTTTGTTCTAAATATTATTAAATATTATTTTATCTAATCCTCGTCTTCATCTTCTATGGAACCTAGTGTTACACTATGTCAGCACGCTTTACTAACTCGTTCCTTTGTTTTAAGTAAATTGTGCGCACGATATAATAATTCATTCCCTCAATTGACTAAATCATGGCCACGTTGTAATAGTTTGTTCCCTTGTTTTTAGTTCAATCAAATTTAGGGAACGAATAAGTTAAACGTGGCTATGATTTACTAAAACGAGGAAACAAATTAATAAATTGTGGGAACTAATTCTTAATTTGTGTCCACGATACTAAATCGAGAGAATTAATTATTTTGTCTGCATGTCATGCGCAGGGCTTTGTATTATTAAACAATTTAAGATATTCATAACATTATTATTACAAATAAAACAAAAGAGGGTTACACTTTATTTTAAGGTGTCACTGTTACAGTGTAATTATATATTTAAGTACTGAATAATAATAATGAACTACATCTACTTACTATAGGAGCAGGGTTAGGGGTTGGTTTAGGGTTAGTTGCATGTAATTATGCATCATTTATAGTTATTACTACAGTAACTACATGTAACATGTGTAACAAGGACACTGTAAAATAAAGTGTTGCCCAAAAGAGTCATGAGTCAAATTACAATATACTACTGTAATACTGAATATATATACACAAAATATTGTTAGTTGCTGATTGTTGGTTTTACATAGAGTCTATGAACTTTGTATTGAAATTTGTGCTGAAAATCAATTTTCTTCTTACACAGCATGATGAGACAGCAGATAATGAGCTGTAACTGTAGAGGACTGGCTGTGAATCCAGCAGCCTGTAATGATAGTAATCACAGACACTGCAATGAACACTTTAATAAACCTGTAAATCACTACAACAACCCTAAACAATGCTGTAAACTTTACCTTACATCTATTGCATTACTGTTTCATGACTGCCTTACCTGTGATCTTGCCATCAGCAGAAGAAGGAGAAGGCAGAATACAGAAAGAATGTTATAAAATATATTTAAGCGTTTACCTCACAGTTCATGATCACTGCGAGGATCGAAATGGACCATCAGACAAAACTATATACTGCAAAAAAGATTTGGTTAGGTAAACTTAAACCAACATAAACCCTTTCCCACAATATTTTCATTTATTTTTTAATCCAAGGATACAAAAGTAACAACATGCAAAGCACAATATGTGTGATGTAAAACCCACAGTAAAAAAATATTGTGGTTTGGTTTCTGTGGTTGCACGCTTTTTTACATTTGGCCTACAAGGGCGGCAATGAATTTGTATAGTCAGTAAATTGTAAAGATTAAGACTTTGTAAAGAATATTAGTCCATTAATAAAGAGCAAAATTTATCAGTAATGAATAAATCATCTTAATTTTGCTGCAGTAACAGGTGTGTACTTTATTTTAAAAAATTGCTCTACTAAATGGCAAACAACATAATCAACATACCAACCCTTTATAATGGATAATATCTATTTATACTGTATAAATATAAATATGTACATTTACATGACAGTTATTATTGCCCACCCATGCAGGCAGCAGGCAATAATAAGTCTTATGTAAATACATATTTATACAGTTGTATATACAGTACTGCAAAGTCTGTACGGATGCCTTCTGCTTAACATCTAAGTGTATATTACTTTTTTATTTTTTATTCCACATATTTAAGTCTTTCTCTCTATTCTATTGTGTTATATACACTCACCTAAAGGATTATTAGGAACACCATACTAATACTGTGTTTGACCCCCTTTCGCCTTCAGAACTGCCTTAATTATACGTGGCATTGATTCAACAAGGTGCTGAAAGCATTTAGAAATGTTGGCCCATATTGATAGGATAGCATCTTGCAGTTGATGGAGATTTGTGGGATGCACATCCAGGGCACGAAGCTCCCGTTCCACCACATCCCAAAGATGCTCTATTGGGTTGAGATCTGGTGACTGTGGGGGCCATTTTAGTACAGTGTACTCATTGTCATGTTCAAGAAACCAATTTGAAATGATTCGAGCTTTGTGACATGGTGCATTATCCTGCTGGAAGTAGCCATCAGAGGATGGGTACATGGTGGCCATAAAGGGATGGACATGGTCAGAAACAATGCTCAGGTAGGCCGTGGCATTTAAACGATGCCCAATTGGCACTAAGGGGCCTAAAGTGTGCCAAGAAAACATCCCCCACACCATTACACCACCACCACCAGCCTGCACAGTAGTAACAAGGCATGATGGATCCATGTTCTCATTCTATTTACGCCAAATTATGACTCTACCATCTGAATGTCTCAACAGAAATCGAGACTCATCAGACCAGGCAACATTTTTCCAGTCTTCAACTGTCCAATTTTGGTGAGCTCTTGCAAATTGTAGCCTCTTTTTCCTATTTGTAGTGGAGATGAGTGGTACCCGGTGGGGTCTTCTGCTGTTGTAGCTCATCCGCCTCAAGGTTGTGCGTGTTGTGGCTTCACAAATGCTTTGCTGCATACCTCGGTTGTAACGAGTGGTTATTTCAGTCAAAGTTGCTCTTCTTTCAGCTTGAATCAGTCGGCCCATTCTCCTCTGACCTCTAGCATCAACAAGGCATTTCCGCCCACAGGACTGCCACATACTGGATGTTTTTCCCTTTTCACACCATTCTTTGTAAACCCTAGAAATGGTCGTGCGTGAAAATCCCAGTAACTGAGCAGATTGTGAAATACTCAGACCGGCCCGTCTGGCACCAACAACCATGCCACGCTCAAAATTGCTTAAATCACCTTTCTTTCCCATTCTGACATTCAGTTTGGATTGGTTTTGTGATTGGTTGATTAGATAATTGCATTTATGAGAAATTGAACAGGTGTTCCTAATAATCCTTTAGGTGAGTGTATGTAGGCCTATGTAAACGATAGCACATTCTGATTCTGATATTTCTCTAATTTGTACTAAATGATTTGTGGCCTATGGGATGCATGGCATGACACTGATGTTCAGAAGTCTTGACCAATCAATTAATATTGAGTAACTTACATGTTAAAACACACTATTTACTAGCTTACTTAGTTTCAAACAAAGCCACAACAGCAACACATAGATGATTTTTCCGGCCTGAATGAACCGTCTTTTTAAACAAATCGGCTGAGTGAACGATTCAGTGACTCTGGAGTGAACCTGCAGAACGAATCATTGAAAAATCCATAACTCTAATGCGCAGACTGATACACAAATACTATGATATCAATGGCTCAGTGTTTATTACATACAATATTACAAATATATATTTCAATAATATAGAATAATATAAAATAAAATATCACATGGACTGCTATTTTCTCAAGGATTTAAAATAAAACATGAGTACTTGTGGGTTTATGTTACCATTCAAAAAAAAGACAAAAAACAATAGTTAGCGTCAACAAGTGTTTATTAATTGACAGCCCAATGTTTGCAACAATTACTGTATACGTATCTTACGTATTGTCAAAACATTCAAATATTAAGTTTAATTTTGTATTTAACATAGGCAAAGTAGCACGTTGTACATTGACACGCAACATTATGACCTTAACATCCATGTCTTTGACGGTGAACAATAATACATACGGTATTTTAATAAAAATGTATTATTCAACATTCCAATCAACCAATCAGATTTGTGTAGGCTTACAACCAGGCTTAAGTGCTTCTACATCAGTGTTATACTCATTTCCCTCCGATTTTAGATATAACTTATGGGTAGAGTTAGGTTTAGGGGTCGGGATATGGTTAGCATACATGTTTTGGACAGGAATGTTGTTCCAAGATCAACAAAATATATTGACCCAGGTCGCTTAACTCTGCAAAATTAGGACATGCTAGTCTGTTCGCTGTCATCGGCCTCCTGCCACATACTCTCTTTGGTCGTGTTCATGGCTTTCTGATGGTTTGCTCGCTGTTTCACGTTGATGTGTTGTTATGGTTATTGCGCGCTCAAGTACTCAATGGCTTCCAACAGCGCTGACTTGTGGTTGAAGTAGTTGACTACCCTACTCTATGCAAAAGCCTAGTCCACACTGGATACATCATCATTATTTGCTGAAACAAATTATGAAAATAAATAAAAATGAACCATCTATTAGTTCTGAGCAGATCGATGAACTCATTCTCAGTTGGCCTGACTACAGACGCCAAGCCGACAGGCTTCACAGTGAGCGCTTTCATGCGGCCCGTTCACTCTGCCATTGAACACTGAGGGTCTGTTCTTTTCACCCAGGTCTTCCTTGTAGCATCTCATGCGGATCTTTTCTACTAGTCTCTCAATCAGCACATCAATGTTTTCCACTGGAAAGTTCGGATCCTCCATCTGAGCTTCATTGCACCTCCTGCACTTCTGTTTGAAGCGTCGCAGTTTAATGGTTCCCTGTTCCTTTGCTGTGTCCATGTGGAAATGAAACACCACCTGCACTCTTTTAGACATCCAGGTTCTTTTACAAAGAGAACACGCGAACCTACGTATTGAAATGGAGAATAGATCAGTTATTTTCTACATTCGTTACTAATATATATATACACTCACCTAAATGATTATTAGGAACACCTGTTCAGTTTCTCATTAATGCAATTACCAAATCAACCAATCACATGGCAGTTGCTTCAATGCATTTAGGGGTGTGGTCCTGGTCAAGACAATCTCCTGAACTCCAAACTGAATGTCAGAATGGGAAAGAAAGGTGATTTAAGCAATTTTGAACGTGGCATGGTTGTTGGTGCCAGACGGGCTGGTCTGAGTATTTCAAAATCTGCTCAGTTACTGGGATTTTCACGCACAACCATTTCTAGGGTTTACAAAGAATGGTGTGAAAAGGGAAAAACATCCAGTATCTGGCAGTCCTGTGGGCGAAAATGCCTTGTTGATGCTAGAGGTCGGAGGAGAATGGGCCGACTGATTCAAGCTGATAGAAGAGCAACTTTGACTGAAATAACCACTCGTTACAACCGAGGTATGCAGCAAAGCATTTGTGAAGCCACAACACGCACAACCTTGAGGCGGATGGGCTACAACAGCAGAAGACCCCACCGGCTACCACTCATCTCCACTACAAATAGGAAAAAGAGGCTACAATTTGCAAGAGCTCACCAAAATTGGACAGTTGAAGACTGGAAAAATGTTGCCTGGTCTGATGACTCTCGATTTCTGTTGAGACATTCAGATGGTAGAGTCAGAATTTGGCGTAAACAGAATGAGAACATGGATCCATCATGCCTTGTTACCACTGTGCAGGCTGGTGGTGTAATGGTGTGGGGGATGTTTTCTTGGCACACTTTAGGCCCCTTAGTGCCATTTGGGCATCGTTTAAATGCCACGGCCTACCTGAGCATTGTTTCTGACCATGTCCATCCCTTTATGGCCACCATGTACCCATCCTCTGATGGCTACTTCCAGCAGGATAATGCACCATGTCACAAAGCTCGAATCATTTCAAATTGGTTTCTTGAACATGACAATGAGTTCACTGTACTAAAATGGCCCCCACAGTCACCAGATCTCAACCCAATAGAGCATCTTTGGGATGTGGTGGAATGGGAGCTTCGTGCCCTGGATGTGCATCCCACAAATCTCCATCAACTGCAAGATACTATCCTATCAATATGGGCCAACATTTCTAAAGAATGCTTTTAGCGCCTTGTTGAATCAATGCCACGTAGAATTAAGGCAGTTCTGAAGGCGAAAGGGGGTCAAACACAGTATTAGTATGGTGTTCCTAATAATCCTTTAGGTGAGTGTACATACATATATTATTATAATATATACATGCTGTTTGATTCATGCTTTTGATTCTGATTCAATGATTCAAACCACTGTTTATGTAAAAATAGACCAGTGAATTTTGAACAGAGAACGACAAACTACATAACATTATGGAATGGAAACCAACATTGGTATCACTTTACTTAAAGCCTTTGTGTATAATGCATTCTAAAAGTATTTTGAATGTTTAATCTCATGAATAATTGTAACCACAGTTATAATACACAATACTAGACAATTACTAGACTTTAGAAAGTATAATGCATTAAAACACACAACAAACAGCCAGTTTTAGATGAAACAAGGAATATGCAAATATTATTATTTATAATGCGTTTTAAATTTGGTTACAGTTATTTATGAAAAGATATAATGCATCGTAACACATTATAAACACCTTTATAAGGCATTATTATTAAAACTCGTTTATCTCATCATTACCATTCTGGGTGAACCTTGTAATGTGTGTGTTTGTAAGATAGAACATGATGTGTGTATGTGCAATAGAACTGATAACAAGGTCTGAGTGTGCATTTTTATACTGTATATTAATACAAAATAAACATGACATATCCATCCAGGCTAGATTCTTTCAATATCATGAAGGGTTTTATTAAAATGACTCATCAAAATATCTCCATATACACCATAAAGCCTATATAAAACACATATCTTTGGAATATTTGATTGTGATAAAGATGAGCTCTTACCGTGCAAAGGAGCCCGAGATGTATTGGAACCAATCACGAGCTTGTTTGTGTGGCTCAATAGAGTCAGTAATTGTGATGTGCCATGTGTCCCCGTGAAGCTCGCTCGCCTTCGCCTGTAAAGAACTTTCCCACAACTTTAATGCCATGTCTGTGTCCTTACAGTGCTGTTGCAGAAATGATCTTACCTTGTTATTAACCACTGAATATATACTGTACGGCTAATCTCTCAATTCATAAGAAACGAAACTGAAACTATCAAGCAAGTATCTGTTTTCTGCAACACAAAAGTGAACATTGCTTAGGCTTTAAAATTCAAACAAGGTGCTTTACAAGCTTGCCATAACATTACATAACTGTATTATAATGCACTTAACCTAAAATAATGGATAAATGTAACTATAGTAATAACATCATATCAAATAACTTCAGATACCAGACAGTAGTCAAAGCTTTTACCACTTTGATACTTGATTTTTTTTTTATGAGTTCTTTGTGAAATAGCATAAAAATAGTTGAAAACGAATTGTCGGATTAATGTGAACAGCTAAGCAACTGTTTGAAGAACGTTACAGAAAGAAATGGTTGATATTGTTTTGCCTCCACCTACTGGACAACATGGTTGCCTACACATGGTGTGTGTTTGCTCTTCTCTGTTGATTTATGCATTCTCTCATTTAAATTGGCGAAATCTGATATCAAATATTAGATTCTAGAAGTCTCAAATCTCAATATGTAAGGAATAATGCACAGTCAGCTAGTCATTGCAAAAAACAAAACAACAATAACAACAACTATGGTGATCTGGGGCCTGATGGTAGTTGAACAAACTCAGGGTTACAGGATTAGTTTCGAGTTGACAAAACCAAACCAATCCAACCAGGCGTTGTTGGTACCATGATACTGATCATCAACTTTCTCTCTCAACTCAGGCTTTTGATCCTGAGTTCAGGAGTTTAGGTGTGACATCAGCAGCGAACAGCCAATCACATGCTGAAAAAGAGTGAAACTGAGATTCTCTTCTGCAGAATATACGAGATTAAAAAAAAATCGATTTTTTAACAAATTTACAGAGGAAGAAGAAAATAGCTGTCTATGAAAGAGGACAACTAAAAGAAAAAGTCTTGCTATATCAGTGCAAGTATACATTTTGAAGTTAGTTTATAGTTGATAAAGGTATAGAGAGAATTGAACATTTAAGCTCACATGTAGTCATTTTTGAGCGAATAGCCGAGAATATTGCCAAACAGAAAACACCACACACTATCAGGGAGACTTTAATTTGACCATGTGTCACTGCAATTGTGAGATAATTGTTTGAAATCTACCTTTTGAAAAAATAAGAAAGAAAAAATAAAGCAAGTACATCTCCCATTTGAACAAACATGTCTAATCAATTGATAAAACCTTAACTTATTTTTATTCTTAATTTATTAATTATTATTTAAGATGAATATAAGATAATAGAGTCTTATGAAATGTATTTTATTTCCTCAGAAATTCTGGGTTGTCTGATAAAATTTGTCTGGATTCTATGATTTAATACAAATACAGTATTGAAAATGCAACCAGATGAAATGTAACAACTTTTGTTTGTCTGCAGATCTGCACAACAGAGGTTTACTAAATTAAAACACAGACAAAAAAAAAACGATATTATTTCTTAAATAATGTTTAAATAAACTTTATGAACATTGTTGTTGTATAACTTTAAGTTCTATTGTACAATAGTAATATATTTATTTGAGCTAAACCAAACTTTTATTTTGACAGCTTGTACTAAACTCCTATGAGTTTCAGTCAGAGTGTATTTGACGATGATTCTTTTAAATAAAATTATGAAATGCTCATTTAGTCCTCTCAGAGCAGTGAGACGGCAACACATGTACTAGGCGAAACGGCGCTGCTCATTCACACAGACACGCAGAACATAGATTTACAGAAGCCTATAGCAGTTTTTTTGCGCCGTATATTAATAGACACACTCATATAGCGATTTGATTTATTGCACAACTATATTTTATATTCATTCATCCATCTATCAAATTGCGCATTTTGCGTGACATATGCGTTATATTGTAAAGTCTATGGAGGACCAAACCTCCATGATTTAAAAATGAATAAATGTAATAAATGGATAAATAAATGTGATAAATGGATTAAAAAAAATGATAATACAGGTTTGGTCCTCCATACCATAGATATCCATAATAAAGGCTAGATGTCTCGTCCGCGCTGCTGGCCAATGGAGGTCGACGTCTGCACCTGGCGGCCATCTTGTCACAGGCAGCTCGCTCACTCGTAACATTGTGTTTTAATGGTGCATGTACTTTTTAAATAACCATAACTTGCTAAATTTTCTACCGATTTTCAAACGCTTTGGTTTGTTATAAACGTACAAGATGTAGTTATGACACTGCACACTTATGAATAATAAGTGGATCAATAAATAATCATCCAGAATTATAGCCACATTAATAACGTTTGTAAGAAACCAAACCGTTTGTAAATCCGTCAAGATTTCAACGAGATAAGAGTATTTGTGTTCGTGCTGATCACTCATCTTACATCAGGTACCACAGAGCCCGCCAGAAAGCTTGCCTGTGACAAGATGGCCGCCGGTGATGGAGATAGAGACGCCGTAAGACATCTAGCCTTTATTATGGATATCTATGCTCCATACTGTCTCAGACATTTTCTCCACTGCACATGTATGGGTGGAGTCTAAGCAGTCAAGTGGAAAGAAGTTGCATATGCGCGGGTGAGATCTGGTTGAATTTTTTCCCCAAACCATGGATAAGCAAATGTTCAGTATATGATAATCGTACATGTCAATATCGTGATAAACCGCCATACCTTTACAACCCTAGTCCGAAGATATGAAAGAACAGTGTAATGCGAATCTTCACAGCAATGTCTTCACTATACAGATAGAAGAGTCAACAGACGTCTCAAAAATGTCACACCTGCTTGTTTGCTATGAATGCAAACAAAGGAAGTTCATGAGGACTTTTTGATTTATGAAGAGCAACGCACAACTACAATCGCAAGTTGCGAGTTGCCTCAACACATGGTTATTTGCACAGAGATGCTCTTGCTACAAAAGATATGGAACCTACTCTTCACGTTCTACAACAGGCTACAATGATTGTTAACTATGTGAAAGCCAGAGCAACAAACTCCAGGTTGTTCACAGCCTTCTGCGAAAAGATGGCTGCTGAAAACCACTCGCTGCTCATGCACACAGAGATGAGATGGTTATCCCGAGGACGAATGCTGACACGCGTCTTTAAACTAAGGGGGGAGTTTTGTGATTTCCTTGCAGACAAGAGGTCTGAGCTGGCTGATTTCTTTAAAGATAAAAAATGTCTTGCACTACTTGGCTACCTTGCAGACATATTCAATGAAAAAAACAAGCTGAACCGTGTGATGCAGGGTGCAAACACAAACTGCGTTATCCAGCATGAATGATTCGAGGCTTTCAAAAGAAAGCTAAAACAATGTAAATCCCGTGCACTTTCAGGAAACTGTGACATGTTTGGACGCACAAGTGCCTTTCTACCAGAGAGAAAGCTGGATTAAACCATTAAACCCCATACTACAGTGTCACCTCTCAAAGATGTCAAAGAAATGTTAGTTATTTTCCTGAGGATCAAGCAGCTTCTTTACTGAAAACATCGAGGAAAATCTTCCAGTCACCTCCCCATCTAAACTTTTGGAAGAACTCATAGACTTACCATCCGACAGCACTCTGAGAGCCCGTTTCAGTGAAATACCATTGGAAACATTCTGGTGTGAGATTGCTGAAGAGTACCCATGATGTAGCAATTCAGCACAACCTACCTTTGTGGGTTTTCCGCCATGATTTCAACCCAGATCCAGACTGACCCTTGGGCATAACATGCACGTTGCACTGTGAAACATCCCTCCTCGCATTGACCACATCATGCGGGCGGCAGTGGCTCAGTGGTTCATGTAGGTTGTCTCCAAACCAGAAGGTTGGTGGTTCAATCCCCGGTTCCACCTGACCAAGTGTCGAGGTGTCCTTGAGCAAAATGCCCGACGAGCTGGATGGCGCCTTGCATGGCTGACACCGCCGTCGGTTTATGAATGAGTGGGTGAATGTGAGGCAAAATGTAAAGCGCTTTGGTGGCCATTGGGTCTGTGAAAGCGCTATATAAAATGCAGTCCAGTCCATCATTCACAAGCAACAACAGCAGGCTTCTCACCAAAGTCTCTGTAAATGCCTTTCCTTGCCAATAAAATGGCAAATCGTACTTTTCTCAGACATTTTCAAATGTTATATTTTCTTTTATGTTACTTTATAATTGAGCAGATTTAGTACTTTTACAGGGATAGTTGTAATGAGGTCCACTGGAGGCAAGCTTGGAGAAGCCAAATGCAGTTCAAATAATCCCAAACAAAGGCATGGCATGGCACTCAGGACCCACAGAGGTTACAGGTTACATACTTGACACATGGCAAACATGAGGGCGTAATACACACAAGGACTAATGACTCACACCTGAAACACAGTGAACATAAAGAACCGATAGGTGTGTTGGACATCGGCTGCGGCTGGATGTAACCGATCGGCGAGAGTTGCTGCGGGCAGGAGACGTGAGACGTGAAGATGGACACTTTCTGCTTCCCGTAGTGACCGCTCACGTGGTGTTTGCATACTTTACCACAGCTGAAGTGAAATAAATGCAATTTTTGCCAAATACACAGATGTTTCAGAGACATTTTCATTCAATACTTTATGTACTGCTTCACACAGCGTCTGTTTGAACAAGAATAAAGTTCAACATTTTATTTTGATAAACATGACACAATATAACATCGCGTCTACATGAAGAGTGTTTACTGTTATAAAAAACTGATTTGTGAGCTTTAGTGGAACTAAAGGTGTGAGAATAAACACGAAACGCACGTGATCGTTGTCATGTGGTGAATCCAGCCAATCGTGGAACAGCTGTGTCGTCATCAGAGCTCGTGCAGCCGCTCTTGAGTTCTCCGGCTACTCTCGAATCGCTCTTGCATACTTCGATGGCATACGTCACAGGCACCTGGCGCCGGCACTGTATTAAGTCGGACAAAATTTCTAACCGACATGCACTGCTTCAAGTCAGCCGCCGGTTGGTCTGCGCAGAGCCGCATGAAGTCCTACAAGCCTAATGAGAACATAGGACACCTGACAAGGGGAGCAC